TTGATCATGTAAGGTTATATTTAAATTAACAATTTAAGTATTTTATACAAATTGTTCAAAAGTTGTAGCCTTAAAATGATAATGGTTTATATACAACAACATATTAGATCTAATAAATTAAGTATAATATCTTAAAAGTTAAAAACATAACTCTATAAGTAGAAGAAAATATATTCTTTTAATATTGAAATTTAGTTTATATATGATTACACTTTAGGTTTTATATTTATTTAACCTTATTAACCAACTTATAATCATTATTAGAAAGAAATTGAAAAGTCATGGGAGTTTCAGGTGAATGTGGTGAAAGGAAAAATGAATGAGAGTTTCAAATGAATGTGGTGAAAGGAAAAATGATTCCTTTATAAGTATACTAGGCGAATGTCCGCGCGTTGCGCAGAAACACCTATATAGTTGAAATCTTTACAAATATATGTTTTTTTAAATATAACAATAACCTTGTTGTTAAATTTGATATAATAATTCGTATACTAAATTGATGTAATATATTGATTATTTTGAATTATATGATAATATATATATACATCTATTATAACTGTATAATATCAACCGTTTGAATGACTTCTACCCGCGAATTACTTATGAATAAAATTAAATATAATATATGGCTTAATGTTATTTATAGTTTTTGTTATTGTTAATAAATTTTTTAAAAATTATTTTCTTAACGTTTTAATTTCTATCATTATAATTATTTAAAACATCAGATATTATTTTTTGATTTTAAAGGTAACAATATAATCATTTATATAGAGTTATTTTTAACGATTGTTATTGTAAGTTATTTTAAGCTACTTATTTGAAAACTTTTAATGATTATACAAATATCTTTAGGAAATATTTTAGTTAAATTGATATAATAATTTGGTTTTTGCATTTAGCACTGCAATTTATCACTTTTAACTATCCACAAAATATTCTTTGGGTTTTTTAAGTGGAATTGAAATTTATATTTAAGTTGACACTGTAATGTTATATTTAAATTAACAATTTAAGTATTTTGTCCAAACAGTTCCAAATTTGTAGCTTTAAATTGATAACTGTTCACATACAACAATATATTAAATCTAATAAGTTAAGTATAATATGTTAAAAGTTAAAGACATAACTTTATATGTAGAAGTAAAGATATTATTTTAATATTGAATTTAGTTTATTTGTGATTACACGTTAGGTTTGATATTTATTTAACCTTATTAACCAAATCATAATGATTATTAGAAAGATACTAGAATTTATCACTTTTAACTATTTACAAAATATTATTTGGGTTGTTTAAGTTAAACTAAAACTTATATTTACGTTGGTCATGTAATGTTATATTTAAGTTTATAATTTAAATATTTTATACAAATTGTTCAAAAGTTGTAGCTTTAAAATGATAATGGTTTACATCCAACAATATATTAAAACTAATAAATTAAGTATAATATGTAAAAAGTTAAAAACATAACTTTATAAGTAGAAGTAAAAATATTCTTTTAATATTGAAATTTAATTTATATATGATTACACTCTAGGTTTGATATTTATTTAATCTTATTAACCAACTTATAATCATTATTAGAAAAATATTGAAAAGTCATGGGAGTTTCAACTGAATGTGGTGAAAGAAAAATACATGGGAGTTTCAAATTAATGTGGTGAAAGAAAAAATGCTTCCTTTATAATATAGTATGATATGACTAGGCGAATACTCGTGCGTTGCGCAGAATCCAACAATATATTTGAAATTTTTACAAATATATGTTTTTTAAATATATAAATGACATTGTTATTAGCTTTTATATAATAAATCTTATAATAAGTTGATATAAACATTTTTTGTTTTGAATTATATGATAATGGAGATATCTTTTAAACTTGTATAATCCTAAGTGTCGTAATGATGTCTACCTGCAGGTTACTTATAAATAAAATTATATATAATATATGATTTAATGATATTTATATTTTTTGTTATGATTAATTAATTTTAAAAAGTTTATCTGCTTAAGATTTTTTATTTCTATCATTGTAATTAGAACAAATTACTGAAATCGTCCCTGTGGTTTAGTTAAAACTGCGTGTTTGGTCCTAACTTTTATTTTGCACTCGGACCGTCCTTACTGTTTGATTTTGTTGCATTGTTGGTCCCTCGTAAACATAAAAAGACTATAATACCCTTACCAGATTTTAATTATATTTTAAAAAGTATTAAAGATTATTTCATAAAGTATTTTTTATATTATTAAAAAAGTTGGGTCCCACACATAACACATAACACATCCCACCACCTCCACCTCCAAACCCCCAGTTGAGCCCTTCCCTTCTACAACTAGAAGCAGTCGATCGTATTCAATCCATACATTTCTTCTCCCTCTGAACTCAACCCTAGAGCATTGATATTCACCTTAACTCCTCGTCGGAGCCGACTCCTCAGGAAACCTGCAATTCTAAAGTCGTGGCGGCCGCCATCATC